TTTTAATGATTATTTGATTCAAATCTCGATAATCAATACAGGGGCGTAGGGCGTGGTCCTTCTCCACGAAAAATATACCAGCGCCAGCGGGTGAAGTTGAGGGACAAATAAATCCTTTTGTAAGATTTTCCTCAATATAGTCTTTTAACGTCTCCAGTTCTGGCTCAGATAACGGGTAGATTCATCCATAGGGAATCTTGGCCCCTGGCAATAGCTCTAGGGGACAATCGTAGTGGCGATGAGGTGGTAACATATCTGCTTTTTGTTTGCTGAACACATCGAGATAATCATGGTGAACATAGTTCTTGATTGGTATCTGGTTGACATAAGGAAACAGTGGCTGTAGTAGTAGCAACAAAACAATGAATTTTTCTATTCCCCAAGAGTAAAAAATAAATACATTTAACAAATAAATAATAAAAAAATAAGAAATAATAAAAATTAAATAAAAAATAGCAAAAAATAAAAACAAATCCTGGAGGCAGGGTGCTGCTGTTGGGGGTGGGGGGCACTTTTTGGCTATGCTCCCGCGTTGCTCGTGCGGCTGAATGTGTCAGACGCTGCAGATGGAAAGGGGTAGGACACCTCTCCCCATGTGCAACGTCGGCCACACGAGCACCACTGGAGGACAGGACGCCGGGGCCTCTAGGAAGCACTAGAATGTAAGCCGGCTGACTCCCTGCGTTCAGGTGCGAGAGGCCGTGTGGGGTTGTATTGAAGTCAATGGCACCGCAGCCATGACCCCTGCCCACAGTGCGATCGCCTGCACCCGGAAAGCAGGCACGTTAGTCCCTGCATTCCGGTCCTGTGCGATCTGCAAAAATAGTGCTTGCAGCATTTTTGCGTATTGCACTGGACTGGAACGCAGGCACTAATGTGCCTGGTTTCCAGGTGCAGGCGATCGAACTGTGGGCGAGGGGCCTGGCTGCGGTGCCATTGACTTCAATGCACCACCACGCCCCCTCCTGCCCCTGAATGCAGGTGTTTTTTCATTGGTAGATCTCATTGAGCTGGTTATTTGAAAAGTAGATCTCCAGACGAAAAATTTTGGGTGCCCCTGCTATAAACCATAATGAATCAATGTTGAGAGAAAATGTGAATAACAAAAAGCATATACTTGTGCTAGTATATCTCATAGAATGTCTATATCTTTAGAAAGTCCTGTATTAAATCTCGCAGGTGATGTTCAACTCCCACTTAATCTCCATATTCATATGTGCAGTCCATTCCTTCTTAATGCAATAGAGTCATTAAATGTGTTGAAGATATATCTTCCAACTTTTATAATCCACACCACCTCCGTGAATGCATAAACAAACAATTTGTGAATCAGTGCTCTCCTTTGTGCTCAAAGATAAGATCTGGCATTGTACCTCCTGTTTAGATCCCGTTACCACCATGGGATTTGAATTTGATGCTTTCTGTGTTGCAAGACTCTACTTTTTAACTTTTTGTCTCAGAAGGTTGCGTTTTTGGTAGCGATCACCTCGGTTCGTCAGGTTTCGGAGTTGGTGGCGTTATCTTGCAAGTTTCTGTTCTTAGTCTTGCATAGGGACAAGGTTGTACTCCGGCCCTGTCCTTTTTTTTACCTACGGTGGTTTCTGAATTTCACCTTGATGTTTCTTCATGAACCATCCGAAATGTGCTCTGTGGGTGGCCCTCTCAGCAGCCTCTTGCCCCATATGCTTTGATCTGAAAATCTAAAGAGCTGGGCTGATATTCTCAGCTGAACAATGAGTGCAGCTGGACAGCTACAGTCACTGTTTGGGTATTTTGATATTGGCACACTCACCATTTTAGCATAGATGGAGAAATCTGTATTTTCTTTTTTTTTAGTCCGCAGGCTGAACGAAAAAATCCAACGTATGTCCAAATTTAGACAGCATACATCTTATCGGCTTTCTTAGGTGACTTTGAGGAGAGCCC